GATTTAAAATCAAACCAGCATTCCACATAAGAGCAAGAAGAATTGTGGGTGCAGGAATTCATGTATATTCTATTCAGCTTGAGATGTGTCTCAACACCGCAGAAGTCAGCCTGCAGTCTTGTCGAAGTATCAAGTACTTGTCAAACACGCATATACCTGCGGTGGGCCAAGGACCAAAAGAGAGCCTGGTCTTCCCTTCACACATCCCAGATGCAGAGGTAGCCCAGTGCCTGCCTTTAAAGAGAGGAAAAACACATGTTCGGGACATGGTCTTATGTCTGGCCAAATTCATTGGAAAGTTGGTGACTTTAAATTTCCTCAATATGAAATTTGTATTTACATTATTGCTCTATTTTGACTACCTTAACTTTTTTTTTTTTTAAAGACTTTCTAAAGTACCTATTTTCCCGCTATCTAGACTTCTTACAGGAAACATTCCTCATTATTTCCCCTTGGCCATTTGAAAAGGAATTTGCTCTTCCGTTTCCGCCTCTTGATTCTATTACTACTAACAGTAACAACAATGATAATGAATAAATGAGGCTTTTGTTTGTTTGCAACTTCAGCAACACTTTCTTGCACGGGATAGGAAAATGTGTTTTGCAGCGGTATCTACATAGATGGGGGAGATGGCACTGCTGTTGATCCTGGCTGGTACCTCCTGCCATTTGGGTGCCAAGGCCACTCGCAGTGGCAGGAAGGTTGATTTGCTTTTCCCCTTTTCTTTTTCTCTTGGGCTTCTGCCCAGATGACGCAAAGGGCCACAAAACAAAGACCCTTTTCAGCTGTCAGCGTGCACAGAACTTGCTGTGGCTACCCGGCTGTCACATGTCCGGTCTGAAGATGATCAAATCATGAGCAACATATCTAGGTTATGGGGAGCACAGGAAACACCCCACAGCTGGGTGCACCCCAGCTCCCCAGAGCACACACTGGCATTGTTTATCTTAAATGGACTCTTAAGCTGGCCAGCACATTCTGGTCAGTCCCCAGCAGCCCACATTTGGCTCTCGAAGGCACAGCAGTCTAATAGGAGGTCCAGGCTTCCGCTTGAGGCTGCATGCACCCCCCAAAGCTCATCTGTTACAGCCTGATATGAAATTGGTTTCTTTCCGCAACCAACCTGACTCATAGACGGTGAAGCCTGGCTTCTCAGATGTGAGGTTTGGCAGGCGAGGGAGGCAGGAAATCCAGAGGAGAATGAGTCTGTAACACAGCGGCTCCTTCCAGATTTTGCTGCTTCCTCTGCCCTGGTTAGGGGGAGGGTCCCCATTCCTGGCATCTGTGACCAGCAAGAGTTCAGTGTTTTGGTAGTCTCTGCCTGGCCCATCTGCAAAACACATGCACGTGTGTGTGTGTGTGTGTGTGCATTATTAATGGCATGGAGGTTCCTGAAACTAAGAGGCATTGAGAATTCTCATTTGCTCTTGGACAAAGCGAGGAACGAAGACAGTGCACCAGGCTGATGCCGGAGGCTTGGAGACACATGTCTTTTCTTTCTCATCCCCCATGGAGATGGCTCCTTTACTCGGGGTTGAGACCAGCTCTTGACTGCAGCACCAGGGCAGTTTGAAGAGCATAAAAGTAATTTCTAATCATTGACTAAGATCAAGGCAAATCGTGGTGCTTACCTTGTTTTCTTCTTGCCAGAAATGATTTGTTAATAGATCACCCTAAAACACATCAGGCTGCCACTGTCTTCCCAGGACTCTCGGGGTCAAAGAGGCCTGCTAGATGCCATGTGGGCTGCGCCATCATCTCTCTGCCTCGATGCCTCGCACTCTATCCTACCCACCCTCCCACTCTAGCTTCTTTGCTGTGCTTCCAACTTGCCAGGTGGGGTTGAGCCCCGGAGCCTTAGCATGAGCTGCCTCCTCTCCCTGTAATATTCTAGCTTCCTCGTTTTCTTTAAGAATTGACACTAGGAATGGGTCAACACGTCTCTCTATTGGGAATCCACAATAAAAATCAATAGTAATGATCAGGGCTGAGATACAACATGATGGAGAGGAGAGGCAGGGAGGAGAGAGATTGGTAGAGAATTTGGTCTAGAGCCCAGTGGCCTTTAAGTACTATGGTTAGGAAAACATTCACATTGAAAAGTGTGGTAGGCTGAGATGTCCATTTTCTAATCCCTGGAACCTGTTACTCTACATGGCAAAACAGACTT